ATATAAATATGCTTGTAACTTCTTTTATTAGTAGTTAATCTAACACTCAAAAATTTGTAGCAAGAGTTCTCTCCTGAGATTGTGTGGTGCAATTTCAATTGTGTGATGCAACCAACCTTAGATGTGACACTTAAGGGTTTTTATTCTCTTTAGGTGTGATGCTTAAAGAAATCTAAATATGACTCTTAGAATTTTTCTATTTTCCCCTCTCTTTTAAACCTAAGCTACGAGCAATGAGTGTAAACAGTAAAAGAGAAATTCTAAGAGTTACACAAGTTTTTTTAGGCATCATATTCTTAAGTATCACACCTAAGGTTGGTTGTATCACACAACAAAATTGCAAAAAAAAAAAAAAAAAACTCAGGTTACAAATTTCTAAATATTTGATTTACCACTAATAAAAGAAGTTACAAGCATATTTATATGTTAACTACTAAGTCTCCTACTAGAACTTATAAGGCTCTTAATAAAAGACCTAATCCTAATAAAACTAGGAAAACTAATGATAACAACATTCAAATAAAAATAATAACTCGCATAAGAATCTTAAATAATATCTAAATAACTACTCCATTCATTCTAAAATAATTGTTGTTTTTTTATTTTGAATTTGTTCCAAACTAATTGTCCATTTTTTTGAGGTAAACAAATATTTTTTGCTTATTTTAACCCTGTTGTTATCCGTTTACTTTAATTATTTATTCTATCACAAAAAATCTAGCCTACTTCTTTTTTAAGACAAATATAGATAAATACATAAATTATCTTCAAATCTTTAATTTGGAAAAAAAATTCAAAAATATATTTTGCTGAAGAGGAAGTATTCAATAGTTTCTTCTTGTTGACCATCACCATGTGTCTTTAATTGTGAATTTTAGTTGTATGTACATTAATACTAGCTTATGCCACTACGACAAATAACAGATTATGACTATGCTAAATGCTAGTTTATGACAAATATTAGTTTGATAATAATTGGTACACTTTCTAAATCAATACACTTTACAATATAATCATTAAGGAATTATTATTTTTAAATTTAAATTAAAAGCAAAAAAACTAGAAAGAGGAACTACATTTAGTTAAGAAAGAGGTTGCCAATTACTTTCGTAAGCTATTTTAGGAAGACTCTTGGAATAGACCAAAGCCTTCAGGTATCAATTTCAAGAAGAACTCGGCTGAGTAGAAGGAGTGGTTAGAAAGGCCGTTTACTGCTAAGGAGATTGAGGAAGGATTGAAGAGTTGTGATGGGAGCAAGGCTCCAAGTCCAGACGGGTACAATTTCAATTTTATTAAATTTGTTTGGACTACTTTAAGGGAGGATTTTATTAGCTTTTTTGGGGAATTTCATCAGAATGGTAGGTTGGTTGGAGGGTTGAATTCTTCTTTTCTATCTTTAATTCCTAAGAGGCTAAATCCTATGGAGTTAAAGGATTATAGGCTTATTAGTTTGCTTGGGTGTGTGTGTAAATTGTTGGCAGAGGTGCTAGTTAATAGGCTTAAGGCAGTGATGTCCGACTTGATTAGTGAAACTCAATCTGCTTTTTGGGAGGTCGACAATTGGTTGATAGTGTTTTGGTTTTGAATGAAGTTGTGGATGAGGTTCAAAAAAAAAAAAAAAAACAATTGGCTTTTGTTTTTAAGGCTGATTTTGAAAAAGCCTACAATTGTGTTAACTTGTCATTTTTAGATTGGATGATGGATAGGTTTGGGTTTGAAATCAAGTGGAGGGGATGGATTATGGAGTGCCTTTCAACAGCAAGGGTGTCGATTTTAGTAAATGGAAGTCCCATGGAGGAGTTTGCAATGGGGAAAGGGTTAACACAAGGTGACCCTTTATCACCTTTTCTATTTTTGATGGTTGGTGAAGGTTTGCATGGTTTAGTGCAAAAATCAAAGAGGGCGGGGTTGTTACATGGTCTGGAGATAGGACAGAGGGAGACATCTATTTCTTTGTTTCAGTTTGTGGTTGATACAGTAATTATAGGTAGAGTTGAGAGTGGGAATATTCGTATGGTTAAAATAATTTTATGGTGGTTTGAGATGATGTCGTGGCTGAGTATTAATTTTAGTAAAAGTAGTGTGTATGGGTTGGCGTTTTGTGTTGTGGAGTAGGGGAAATACGTTTTATCTATTTGGGTATGCTTATTGGAGGAAGTCTAGGGAGTAAGAAATTGTGGGATCCAATGGTAAATAAATTTTATGTCAAGCTTGCTGTCTGGAAATCTACTTTGCTGTCCTTTAGAGGTCGTGTCACCTTGCTCAATTCAGTACTCTTTGCTTTACCTAGTTTTTATATTTTTTATGCCAAATTCTGTGGTTGTTGAGTTAATTTCTATTTCAAAGGAACTTCCTATTGGGGGGGGGGGTGAGGAGGTAAAAGGAAGATTTCATGGGTTAAATGGGAGTCCCTTTGCAGTAGTAAGGTAAAAGGAGGGTAGGGGTGCCGGATCTATGTAGGAGAAATTGGGTGTTGTTAGGGAAGTGGTGGTATAGATTAAGTGATGTTGTGGATAGTTTATGGAAAAGGGTGGTGTGGGAGGGAAAAATATTATGAGGGTATGCGAAAGGTTGTTATTATTACAGTGCAGAATTTGAGGGTGTCTAAGCTTTGGGGAGATATTATAAGGGCAGGTGGGAAATCACTTAGGCTAAGGGACATGTTGGTAAGGGGGTTTCGGTGGGAGGTAGAGGAGGGAAGTTGGGTAGGATTTTGGAGAGATATTTGTGTGGGAGATAGATCTTTGAGGGATTTATGTCTTAGGCTTTTTTAGCTAGTTGGTAATAAGGAAGGCGTGGCTAGGGACATGGGGAAGAGGGAGAGGGAAGGGTGGAGATGGAATATGGAGTGGCGAAGAAAGAGAATAAGGCGTGAACAAGGTGAGGAACAGGGTGACAAACAGGTGTTGTGGGAGGTGCTGGATGGTATACAGATTAAGGAAGGTGTGGAGGATTGTTGAAAATGGAAGTATGACGAAGAGGGTTGATATGTGGTGAAAAAAATTCAGTATTTTTTGGCTCCTATGGAGTGTTTACTTGAGGTCCAGTTTTGTAAATTGATCTGGTGCAGGTTAGTGCCTTCCAAAGTGAGCTTTTTTGGGTGGAGATTGTGTCTTGATAGATTGCTGACAAAATGGAATTTGTAGAAAAGAGGGGTGCTGTTACAGGGGGATGGATTCGTGTGTGGTTTGTGTAAGGAGGAGGTGAAGGAAGTGAACCATTTGGTTTTGTACTTGTAAAGAAGCTTGGTTAGTGTGGGTGCAGGTGTTTAATTGGTGGGGTCTTGAGGTTGTATTGCCAGAAACAGTGTGGGGAGTGACAGAATTATTCATGGGCTGTTTGGGTAGGGTAGTTGGCAAGGAGGTGAGTGCATGTGTTTTTCTGGTTGTTGGTTGATTCTTATGGTTTTGGAGGAATGCTAAGGTGTTTGGGAGTGATGAGGATATGGAGCAACTGTTGGAAAGGATTCAAGCTAAGTCTTTTTTCTAGATTAAACATAAAGTAGATGGTTGTGTTTTTTCATTTTCTCAGTGGCAGCTAGATCTAGTAGAATGTGCAGCAACAGTGAAAAGTTACAAAAGGTGTTTAAAATTGTTTCATAAGTAGCAGTAGTGTTAGGTTTGTAGGGCTTCATTGGTAGCTGTCTTGAGTTGTACATGTGAGCTTCTATTTATAAGTATAAGGGTTGGGTGTATTATTTTTTAAGTTTCATTTGTTCATGCGTGCTTATATTTATCAGTACAGGGGTTGGGAGTTTTTATAAGTACAAGGGTTGCGTTGTGCATGTCGGCTTTTGGTGGTATTGTGAGAGAATAAAAATATTTTGTATGAGGGCAAGAGTAGCCTTGTGCTCCAATTAATAAAATTATTTGTTTTGTTGATAAAAAAAAAAGCAAAAAAATTAGAAGTTATAAATTTTAATGATTGAACCAATAAATGTTATGAAATGTGTTAATAAAGATAAGTCAATTATTTTTCTACTATTTTATACCAAACAAGGTCACTTTTTGAACATCTTCTATGTATTGAAGTTTGGGTTTTCATATTTTAATTTGAAAAGAAATAGATTGTCGTTGAAGTTTACTCCTCAACGTAGTTTTATATATATAGTAGCACAATTTTCACATTTATTTTTTGGCTAAAACCAACATTTAGCCCCTTACCTTAAAAAATTGGTAGGTTTTAGTCCCTAACCTTATAATATGATACTTTTAGCCCTTTACCTTATAAAGTTGGTAGGTTTTAACCCATCACCTTACAAAGTTGGTAGGTTTTAGACCCTTACTTTATATTATGACACTTTTAACCCCTTATCTGTACGAATTGAAGAAAATAGCCCTTGTTTAACATCAGCTTTTAATGCTCTATTAGTTTTGTTAGCTAACTGTCAGTTTTATTAGTTAACTATTAGTTTGTTAGTTGACTATTAGCATCCGTTAGCATTCCGTTAGCATTCCGTTAATGAAACTATATAACAAATAAAATTGAATTTAAAATTCATATTTTTCTTAATGGAATGCTAACAGATGTTAACAGTCAACTAACAGAATTAACAGAACGTTATAACTTGATGTTAGGTGAGGATTATTTTCTTTAATTCATATCACTGATGGGCTAAAAATATCATAATATAAGGTAAATGGTTAAAACCTACCAATTTTGTAAAGTGAGGGGCTAAAACTTACCAACTTTGTAAGATAAAGAGGTAAAACTGTCATGTTATAAGGTCAGGGGCTAAAATCTACCAACTTTGTAAGATAAGGGGCTCAATGTTGGTTTTTGCCTTTATTTCTTATTCTCTATAACTCACTCAACGACATTCTGCATTGAACTTCACTACAGGTCTAACCCTGTTACAGTTTCAGGGTATCGAGTTATGATTTTTCACTAAGCCTACGAGTGAATAGTCCTTTGAAATAGGTTAAATGCTAATTTTGGTCTTTCAACTTTATTGAGTTGCACTTTTTTGGTCCTTAAATTTTTTTTGCACTTTTTTGATCCTTTAACTCTAACAACTGCACAATTTTGGTCATTCTGTCAGTTTAAGCTGTTAACTCTATCTACATGGCATTTTTTATATTTTTTTTTATGACATGTATAATCTAATTGGAAAAAAATGATGACATGGATCATCCAACTTGAAAAAATGAAGACATAGATAAATAAAATAACATGTAAATAAATCTTTATATTTTTAATAAAAAAATAAAAAAACCTCTCCCCCTATTTTCTTCCTCCTCTTTCTTTCTCTTTCTTCCTCCTCCTACTGCTACCTCCTCTGCTAACCAAACCCAGCCAAGCTAGGATCCTCCCCCCTTTCTCTTCTTCCCCTTATTGCTTTCTCTTTCTTCCTCCTCCTACTGTGACCCACCGAACCTTCTTCCCCCTCTTTCTTTCTTCCTCCTCCGGCTACTGGGTTCATTAATTTGAACCCAGTAAGTTGGGTTCGTTTGAACCCAGTTCTAGGTTTCGCAGAACCCAGTTCTAGGTTTCGTAGAACCTAGCAACCCAGATCCGGGTTTTGCGAAACCCAACGATCTAGGTTTCGTGGAACCCAGCAACATGGGTTCAAGGAACTTGAATTTTTGGGTTTTCAAACCCATGTTTATAGATTTTTTTCGTTTAGTAACTCTAGCAATTTCTATGCATATATTGAACCCTTTTGTTTGATGGATTTTTGTTTCAAATATTGTGGTTATGGGATGGTAATTTAGTATTATGAATGCTGCAAAAATTTTTTTGTATGTTTTGGTTTGGCTATTACTCTTGTGAGTATATGATCATTAACCTGGATTCAAGCAATATGAATTTTCAAGGTTTTGATTTGGTTTTGAGAAAGCAAGAGAGGGAAGAAGAGAAAGAGGGGGGAGAAGGTTTGGTAGATCCTAGCTTTGCTGGGTTCGGTCAGCAGAGGAGGCAGTAGTAGGAGGAAGAAAGAGGGGGAAGAAGATAGGTCGAGAGGTTTTTTTTACTTTTTTTATTAAAAATATAAAAATTTATCTCCATGTCATCATTTTTTCTAGTTGGATGTCCATGTCATCATTTTTTTCCAATTGGATTATCTATGTCATAAAAAAAATATAAAAAGTGCCACGTGGATGGAATTAACGGCTTAAATTAACGAAAGATCAAAATTGTGCAGTTGTTAGAGTTAGGGATAAAAAAAGTGCAAAAAATAGTTTAAGGACCAAAAATGTGCAACTCAATAAAGTTGAGGGACCAAAATTAGTATTAACCTTTGAAATTCAGCCCCCCAATCTCTTGAACAACGCTGGTTTTTGCTGAGAGATCAAGTTTCTTGCAACCTATTTCCCCTTCATACTTCGGGTTATAGAATGTGGCAACAGAGAGCCTTTCTCTTTCTGAGTTAATTGTCGCGCGGTGAGTGATGCTACGATATGCTCCATTTGTTATAACCTACCAAAAGAAGTTCAATTCATATTCATCAAAACCATGATTTTCATTTCTCCAAAAGGAAGCAAGTACAATTATGATAGTAATTACCTCCAAAACGTCTCCAATGTTGATGATGAAGGCATTTGGGAGAGGCTTAGTTGGAACCCATTTGCCATCTTTTTTTATTTGGAGGCCCTTTACTTCATTTATCTGAAGCAGGATGGTGAGGCCTACAGCATAAGAATGAGGAGTGAGCCCAATAACCTTTTCTGGTTCAGGACATGGAGGGTAACAGTTCATCCTCATTGACTGAAAACCCTCTTCAAAGAATTCCTCCATTTCAAGTGCTTTTGCCATGTCTTTTTTTATTTTTTGAAAAGCAAAAATAATATTTATTGCTACGGAGTACAAGGGGTACCCCAAACCCGTAAACATTTTAGTTTGAAAGGCCAAGAGTTACATAGTAAATTAGCCCTTCCGTTCGGTGTCGACACCTATATTGTGTGTCGACACCATGTCCGTGTCGGAGAATTGTGCTCAGTTCTTCCGTTTGGTGTCGACACCTAAATAAAGTGTCGACACCACGACCGTGTCGGGTTTCACAAAGCTCAGCCTTTCCAGAATACCATAACCTCCCTTTTTGATATTTTTGGCTCTGGGTTTCCTTAGTTGCATTTCTGGTGTCTTCCAACTGTTTGCAGCATGCTTGTATTCTTCAGCCTCCTCACACTCTTCTTTGATGCTTTGGTGGCTCGTCTTCATCTGCTCCTATTTCTACCTGATGGTTGCATAATCTTTGGTTTTTTTTTTTTTTTCTGCCTACATAGTTAAGCTTTAGACAGCTTGCTGGATCCTGTAGCCAATCAGATAGTGAGAATAAGCAACCTCCTCTTATATCTTTCAACCAGTTGAAGGACTTAAGTTGTACCAGCTCTAGCATTTTTCTTCTGTCTGTTTCCTTTCTTTTGAATACCCTCCCGTTTCTTGTTAGCCATATTGTCCATATTGTGGCAAACCATATGCACTCCCATCCTTCCTTTTCCTTCTCTGTTTTCACCATGTTGCCATGCT